AGGAGGATGAGCCCTGTTGGCCAAGTGTGTTTGAGCCCCAGGGCCGGGCCAGGCGAGAGCCCGAGTGAAGGGTCAGGACCGCCTCTGTCTGCTGCAGTGGCGGGAACAGGTGGGGAGTGGGGACACTCCTGTTCTCAGGCTCCGAGCGGCAGCAGGGAGAATGTGGGCCAGACCAGACGCAGGGTCAGGGCCAGCCTGGCTGGACAGCTTTAAGGAGACGGGAGGCGAGGCTTGGTGGTGGCTGCGGGCGGCTGGAGCGGGCCGGGAGGACACGGGGTCCTCAGGGCCTGAGGCCAGCCGTGGTGTGAGTGAGGGTCTCGCTACCAAGGAAGGATGGCAACAGGTGGGCTGGGGGCACCCCGCCCACCTGCCTGACCCCTCTGACCTCCCCTGCCTCTCCCACGGCCTCAGTGCTCACCCAGGCTGCACCCCGTCACCCCGACTGTCCTCTCCCGAACCACTGTCTTTAGTCCTTTCCTCTCCTGTGTCCCTCAGAACGTGGCTTCCAGTGTCAGGCTCGGTCTCCGCTGGAGGATGTTGACGGAAGAAAGGAGGGAAGCTTCAAATCCTGGTTCTGGTGAGAAAACGAACTGCAAAATAAAAGCACAGTGTCTGGGCCCGACGCGCCGTGTCCGAGGGTCCCTGGGCGCCGGGGAGCAGAGGGCAGGTGCCCTGAGCCGGGTCGGACGGAGCAGCCACTGTGGGTGGAAATTCCTCGCTTCACAGCCCAGTTCCTCCCGGATTGCAGCCTCTCTGGCTTCAGTTCAGCTTCTCAAACACTTCTCAGCTATCAGCTGGAAAATGGGGAGACCTGGGCTGGTTCATAACTGAACATCTCCCAGGGATTCCCCAGGAGTATGTGCAAGAATACACGGGGCCTTGTGGGGACCTGGCAGAGCGCCGATAAGGCTCTCACGTGGGGTCTCTCCCCTGCTCCTGTCTGGCACTTTCCTCCCACTTCTCAATGGGAAAGGACTGGACTTCACTGCTCCCAGGAGCCCAGCAGTGTGTGTGTACGTTTGCTTGTGTGTGCGCGTGGCCCCATTAGCCATTGCTGTTCATTCCCCGAGGCGCTCAGCCGCTTGACCTGCTGCCGGGACCACACGTAGTTAGTGCCCTTAACCTTGGACTTCCTATTAGGATGGAAAGCAGCCGTACACGGATGCTCCGTAGACTGTTTTGCGTTCCACCCTGAAAGGACAGTGTCCTGTGCCAGGGGGATGGGATTCGCGGTTACTGAGGGCCTTTTCTCTCCAGTCTCAGACTCCAGGCCCGGTCTCATGGACGCGCTCTGTGAAGCAAATGGCACCTTCGCCCTCCGCCTCTTAAAGGCCCTGTGTGAAGACGACCCTTCAGACAACGTGTTTTTTTCTCCCGTGAGCCTCTCCTCGGTCCTGGCCATGGTCCTCCTGGGAGCCAAAGGGGACACCGCTGCCCAGGTGGCCCAGGTGAGCCAGGAGAGGGGGCTCTTTCCCGTGTCCTGTCCGCTCACCCGGCTGCAGACCCCCTTCTCCAGGCCTGCCCGTGGGAGGGTGGGGTGGACGCGGGTGCAGACGCCTGCTGCCTCGGGAGCGACTGGGGCTGCCCAGACGCAGAGGGCGGAGCTGAGGTCTCCTTCACCGAGGTGTTTCTTGTGTGATCCTTCTCCAGTTCATATCCTGGACGTGACCATTAAACTTCTGTCTTAATAGTTTTATGTTTGCTTAGGAAATGGTAACGATTGCTTGAGATCTCAGCAGCCGAGCGCTATCTCAGTTTGAGAGCACTGATGTTTGTACTAAAACTTACAGCTGTTCGTTGGTGAGAAGGGTAGGTTAATAGGTATTTCAAGTCAATGATACACCACCGTGCTTTCCAGCTGAGTCAGGGGATAAGCGGAAATGTGCAAAGAGGGTGCAAAGGCGTGGGCTTTTTACCTGCAGCGATGCTTAGGTGCGAGTTAGCCTAGACGAGCAGCGACTCAGGAACATCCACCCGAGTCTGTCCGGTCCCCAGGGACGTTTCTAGAGCAGACAGAGGAACGTGTGCAGGAGTCACCCAGAAGGTGGTGAGGTCCTGCCGGGCGCCTTTGTGTTTCACTCTGCCTCTCCATTCCTCTGAGAACCCTTGGCGGTAGTGATTACTCATCATAATAATTTCCCAGCTCATGTGTGAGGGGGTGAAGGTTGAGGTGTCGAGAGTGGTTCTTTATTCCTGATGAACTTTACTGTGTATTAGGCCGGCCCACGAGCCCTAGAGGAGCCTCGTGGGGGAGCCTCAGGTTGTCTGCTGTGACGTGGAGTGGTCCTGGCCTTCCTGTGCTGAGGTCACAGGCCCTCAGGGTGCGAACTCCGCCTGGCTGCCTGGCACGTCTCGGGAAGGGCTCCTAGCCTGCGGGTTGAGGGCTCTGGTCACCAGCAGACTCTGGAAGCACGGTCTCTCCCACTGTCGTTGTTCCTACTGGTTTCCCCTCGGATTTTAATACCTTTATATGAGTCTTTCTATTTATTTATTTATTTTTTTTTGGTAAACTTTAGAGTTAAATTTTCCTCCATTTAGGCACACTTACGGTTTCCTTAGAATGCAAGATTTTAAAGCAGCTCCTTCTCTGAATTGTCCCAGTCCTTTCATTCCTACCTTGTTACTCATCTTTAAACAAGGGAGATCAACTGAGACAGAAAAGCCAACTCTTTTACCCATTTCTGTTCTCCTTTCTCCTGTATCTTCCCCCTCCCCCGTGTCATCTTGCTTCTATGCTGCTGCTGCTAAGTCACTTCAGTCGTGTCTGACTCTGTGTGACCCCATAGACGGCAGCCCACCAGGCTCCCCCGGCCCTGGGATTCTCCAGGCAGGAACACTGGAGTGGGTTGCCATTTCCTTCTCCAATGCATAAAAGTGAAAAGTGAAAGTGAAGTCGCTCAGTCGTGTCTGACTCTTCGAGACCCCATGGACTGCAGCCCACCAGGCTCCTCCGTCCATGGGATTTTCCAGGCAAGAGCACTGGAGTGGGGTGCCATTGCCTTTTCCATCTTGCTTCTCTAGTATGTACTAAATCCACACTTAAAAGTAGTGTCTTTTAGGAATATTTTGTGAAGTATTTGAGAAAAAATGTTGGTCACAAAACTTTTAGAAACTGAAGGGCAATATTGTTTATTTTAAATTACTTATCTCGATAGGTGCTTTCCTTAAACACAGAGAAAGACTTTCACCAGGATTTCCAGCAGCTTCTTGCTGAGCTGAACAAGCCTGACGCTCAGTACTTGCTCACAACGGCCAACAGGATCTTTGGGGAGAAGACCTATGAATTTCTCTCTGTAAGTTCAATCAACAGAACAGTACAAGTTGTGATCAAAATGTGGAGTGTGAGAGAAAGACCCCAGAGAACTGACACTTATGAACATGATTTCTAAAACTTGTAATTCCCTAACTGTACTTTGAGTTAGTTGAAATTTGACTATTTCTAAAGTGCATTTATCCATTATAACTATTCATGGCTGAGTTCTTACCTGTTTATAAATGCTGATCTTTTCATATCTAGCAGACTAGAATGACCACCTTCAAGGGATTAATGGTTACTTTAATGTAATATATATATAGTTCAGAATTTTGGAAACTCGCTGACCACTCTCCTCTCCAAAGACCTTTAAGGAATCGTGTCTTCGCTTCTACTACGCTGAGCTGGAGCAGCTCTCCTTTGCCAAAGCTGCAGAGCCGTCCAGGAAGCAGATCAACGCTTGGGTCTCAAAGAAGACTGAAGGTCAGTGCTCCCTGGTGCCTCCCCCACTTCCACACCTCCTGCTCCCCGCTCCCTGCTCCTCTGTCGGCCCTGGTCTTTCTGATGGTCAGCGCCGTGCTGTCTGGGCCTCATGGACTATCTGAACCTTAATGGACTCGCAGAGGTTTTGATCGGATGCTCGGGTGTTCAACAGCAGAGACTTCATTGTGTCCATTCTCCCTGGAGCAGAGTGGCCGGCAGGAGCTGAAGCCCACAGGCCGGGCTCCCAGGTTAACAGCTGACAGAGAAGCATCGTCTCCCTCGGGCGTGTGTTCACGCGTCAGTGAATGCCGCACCTCTGTAGGAAGGAGCCCGGGGCCTCCTCTGAGCACAGTCTCTGTGGCCCTCCATCACAGCGGACTGACCCCCCTCCTGCCCTTTCCTGTCTCCCACCTCCACTCCTGTCCTCAGATGTGAGGAACCTAGACCTGGCAGGCCCACTGCAGACCCACTCTCAGGCTGATGGTTCTGCAGACTGAAATCACTGCACGGGGGTGGGTGGAGCCTCATTCGCTCCTGTTCCCCAGGGTGTCCTGCTGTGGCCTCGGCCCCATGATGGCCGTGTGATGTTGGACCCATGTAGGCCCCTCTGTACCAATTACACATGGTACCACTAAGAGCAATGCTGTTTCTGCTAATACATGAGACAGCAGAGAGCGGGAGGTTGTCTTTCCTTCAAGACTTAGCCTTCCTTGCCCAGTTTCTTCTTTGCCCTCTGGAGGTGTGAATTAGCAGGGGTGCTCTTAGTTCACTGAACAGGCTTGACTTGATCTCCAGGGGACACGGGAGTACCTTTCACTTGCTACCTGACCTTCTCTGAGAATGTCTGGAGGATCAAATAGTGAAACCTTTGCTAGCGGCTTCCAGAAGTTTGTCCTTTCGCTGATGGTGTGCCCTGAGCCATTCATGGTGGCCTCCTGTGACAAGTCCCCACACAGTCCTGGAAAGTCGGCTCTGGATGTGGCTTCTCCAGCCATAGCCTCTCCAGCCCACCCTTTGTTTCCTGTTTGTCTCCTCCCACCTGGAGCAGACTTCAACCTGAGTGATGAAGTGGTTCATGTCACCCACTTTGCAGAGGTCCTGAAGCACCGTGATCATAAACGCCACCTGTGTGTGTGGGTTCCGTGCAGAACAACCCAAACTGGGCAAATCTGAACGAGGACTGCTAATCTGGATTTTCCAATGAGCCTTATCAAGGGTTTTTTTTTTTTTAAATCATGCTTTGTATTCTCTACTTCTCCCTAAGGTAAGATTCGAGAGTTGTTGCCTGCTAACTCCATCAATGCAGAGACCAGGCTGATTCTGGTTAACGCGGTCTACTTCAAAGGGAGCTGGAGTGAGAAATTCAACAAGGAGTACACCAGGGAGATGCCTTTTAGAATAAACCAGGTGGGGGAAACTTTCAAACATCCTGAGAATTTGGTGAAAAAATTGAATGGAAAAATTTAACTTTGTAAGAGCATAAATCATTGGTTAATAATAATTTGAAACTTCACACATTTCTGAATGAAATTTTAAACTCAGCGGTGAAGAACTGAAGGTATGAAAAACACTTGTTGCCTTCGGTCTTTTGCACTTTTTATTGTTCCTAGAGCCTTGATAATTTCTCACAAAGTCACTCCTGTATGAGTGTATTCATCCTACATTCAGCCTGAAAGCTTAAGGTTTTCTTTTAAGTCCAAATTGCTCAGACAGAAAGCAAAAAAAAAAAAAGAGAGAGAGAGAAGAAATCCAAATTTAAACCCCCCACAGGTGTTAGGAAAGTGTGATCTGGGTATTACTATAATGGGGGTGGGGCGTGGGGTGTGGTCTGCAGAGCAAAAGAATAAGAAAATGTATTTCTTTAATCAGCTATTTTAAAAATGAGAATAAATACAGACTTGATTTGCTATTAATTAATCATCATTAATTCAGTAATCATAGCTTTCTAATAATAAAACTGACTTAGTCTTGACATTGAGGTATAATTTCAATTCAGATAGGCATTGAAATAGTTTGTTAACCACTCCCCCACCGCCGGCCCTTATAAAAACACCATTTTAATGCAATTCAGAAATTTATAGGCATAAAACCCTTTTCTTCGAATACAGTATACTGTAAATAATCAGCCTTCTAGTTGCAGAGCGGGAGGGGAGCACAACTAGTCATCCACAACTGGCATGGATTTTAGAAATTTGTTTTAATCTTTTTAATAGATGACTTGTGTCAACTTATAAAACTGAATTTAGTAAGGGTAGTATTTCAGTTAACTTATGTGTGCGTATAGCACTTCTGTATTTTAAAAAGTTATTTCCTCCAATTAAAGTTTCAGAATTGGTACAGTTGGATTTGAATGCATGAAGACCCATATGGTTCTTTATTTTTTTAACCGTGCAGCACAGCATGTGGGATCTTAGCTTCCTGAGCAGGAATTAAACCTGCCGCCCCTGCAGTTTAGCCTCTGGGCCCCAGTGAGGCGCCCGTGCGGTCCCTTACACTTGCTGTCACACTGCGTTCTGAGCCTGTCTACATTCTGGACTGCCCTGCTGTGAAACTCTAAGGTTCCATGAAACTTTTTTCTAATTAAATAGCAGTAATTTTCATTGGATCCTGTTGTTTCATCAGATATACTTACTGGGCATCTTTTAGCTCTGAAAATCTGACTTCCTTTTCTGAGAACAGCAGAGCACCTCGTTTATTTTGCTGAATGAACCATCTTTCCCAGGCCAGCACCAGTGTGCTGACAACAGGTGCCTTGCGATGGGAACAGGGAGAAGCTGGTGGACAGTTTGTAGCACTAACCAGGGCACAGATAGCGTTTCCATCGGGGGTTCTGCACACCCCGCCGTCCACCGCTTCTCCTGGAGACGGTGCTGCCTCCTCCGATGATCTGTGTCTGATTCCGGGTCATCTGTTTACTCCTGCAGAAGGAGCAGAGGCCGGTGCAGATGATGTTTCAGGACGGTGAGTTCAGACTCGCCCGCATCCAGGAGGTGCAGGCCCAGGTGCTGGAGCTGCCGTACGCGGGTGAGGAGCTGAGCATGCTGGTGCTGCTGCCCAACGACCACGTGCCTCTGAGCTCAGTGAGTGTCCTGCGAGTCCTTCCTGCCCGGCTGGCCCTCGAGCCCTCCTCCTGCTCTGGGGCGCGCTAGCTCGGGTACCAGAGCACGAGACGGCACACCTGTCCGCCAGGTGACTCGGGGGAGGGGGGGGGCGGCGGTGGCACCATCCCTCCGGGAGAGGAGACTCAGGGCTGCCTGACATTGCTGAATCCCAAAGTCGAATTCTGGCCTTTCAGGTAGAGAAACAGCTCACTTGGGAGAAGTTCCTCGCCTGGACCCAGCCTGCCTCCATGAAGAAGACCCAGGTGGAAGTCTTCCTCCCAAAGTTTAAGCTGGAGAAGACCTACGACATGGTGTCGGTGCTCCAGGGCCTGGGGGTGGTTGAGGCCTTCCTGTCGGGCCGGGCTGACTTCTCGGCCATGTCTCCCAGCGAAGGCCTGTGTCTGTCCGCCTTAGCCCACAAGAGCGTGGCGGAGGTGGACGAGGAGGGCACGGAGGCCGCGGCCGCCTCCGCAGCGGTGCAGGCCGATTGCTGCTTGGTGAACCAGCCCCGGTTCTGTGCCGACCACCCCTTCCTGTTCTTCATCAGACACAACGGCTCTGGGAGCGCTCTCTTCTGCGGCAGGTTCTCCTCCCCGTAGGAGCGTGCGCGCCGCGCCTGCCCGCCCTGCCCTCGCTGGGCCCCCCGGGGCCTGGGCAGCTCCGGGCCTCCGTGACCCGCCAGCACACCCTTGCTTCTCCCCCAGGCTGACCCCTGGACGGGGATCGAGGGCCAGCAGACCTCAGTGATTGTATTTGAGACGCAGCCTGAATCCCGTAGGATGGGGTCCCGCTCCATGGGCCGCAGACTCCCTTCCCCCTCGCTCCTGCGTGCGTTTCTTTCCGGTGGCACTGGGTTCTCTTCCGGGTCACCTGCTTGCCTTAGCCCGTTTCAGTGTTCAGCCAGGCCGTTAGCTGTCACTGCCGTTTGATAGATCTCGTGGTGCTTGCGCTTTTTAGGGACGTTCCTTAGTGCGTGTTTGTTTTTTTGGCTGTGTAGCACGTGGGATGCCAGTTTCCCGACCAGGACGGAACCCATGGCCCCTGCGGTGGAAGCTTGGCTTCCTTTCCGTTGACCTGCCTGGGAATGCCCTCTTTAATGCACATCTTATCTTTCTTTGACATTCACTGCTCACCGTGGATGTTGCCAACCCTGCATCAGGCCCTGGGGAGGGAAGTGGGAGGGTGTGCACCTCTGAGTCCTGCCCCCGTGGCAGAGGTAGGCAGCTTTGAGGACTACCAGGCTGGACTAGGTCCTGCCTCTAGGTGACCATGTGACCTCTGGAAGGGTCGCACGTTTCCACATGTTACTGTATTTCTCCACCTCCAACTCTTAACAGGAAAAATCACATTCAACCCTTAAAGCTCATTTCCAATGTCATCTTCTCTGAGAGTTGTTTCCTTTCCTGCATAACCAGAGGTACGTCTTTGTACCCTCACTGCCCCCTGGGAGATGGCACGTCTCTGACGGTAGCTGTTTGTATATTGCCTGTCTGTGTTTTCTGGCTTTAAGGCCCTTGGGGATGGGACTGTGTTTTACGCATCAGGGTGCCACTTAGGTTGCATGGATAAGCAATTTGATGATGAGCTCTGTGACTTAAAAAAAAAAAAAGGTTCGAAATCAGTTTTTCTAATTGATAAATAATAAAAATAATTTAAAAAAACAATTTATTGGTTTTTTAAAATAATTTTTTTACTGAGGTGAAATTTATGAAAGCTAAAATTACCTTTTTAAAGTGAATGACACACTGGTGTATAGTCCGTTGACACTGTGGTTCAACCGCCGCACCGGTCTAGCTCCAATATTTCTCATCACCCTGCATCCTCTAAGCAGTTACTCCCCATTCCCTGCTTCTCCCAACCCATGGCAACCACCAGCCTGCTTTCCATCTCCATGGATTTACCCGTGCTGGCAATTTCACGTAAGCTGAATCATGCGTGACCCTTTTTGTGCCTGGACTCTTTCATCTCACATAATGTGTATTAAAAATCAGGGGCATCACTTTGCCAACAAAGGTCCGTATAGTCAAATCTATGGTTTTTCCAGTGGTCATGTGCAGATGTGAGAGTTGGACCATAAAGACTGGGTGCCAAAGAACTGATGCTCTTGACCTGTGGTGCTGGAGAAGGCTCTTCCGAGTCCCTTGGACCGCAAGGAGATCCAAACAGTCCATCCTAAAGAAAATCAGTCCTGAATATTCATTGGAAGGACTGATGCTGAAGCTGAAGCTCCGATACTTTGGCCACCTGATCTTAAGAGCTGAGTCATTGGTAAAGACCCTGATGCTGGGAGAGATTGAGAGCAGGAGGAGAAGGGGATGACAGAGGATGAGATGGTTGGTTGGCATCACCAACTTGACGGACATGAGTTTGAGCAAGCTCCGGGAGATGGTGAAGGACAGGGAAGCCTGGTGTGCGGCAGTCCATGGGGTTGCAGAGTCAGACACAACTGAGCGACTGAACAACAACAAAATATGCTCAAGATTCATCCGTGTTATAGCAGATGTCAGCATCTGACCATTTGTATATGTCTTCTTTGGAGAAAAGTGTGTTCAAGTTCTTTGTTCATTTTTTCATTGGGCTGTTGGTCTTTTTTGTGATTGAATAATATTCTGTTGTATGCAAAGAACACATTTTGTTTGTCCAACCATCCACTGATGGACATTTGGTTTTGTTTCCACTCTTGGTTCATTGTGAGCAATCCTACTATGAACATGCATATATATATATATATATTTGAGTATTTGCTCTTCATTCTTTTGGGTACATTCCTAGGAGAAATTGCTGGGTCAGATGGTGATTTCATGTTTAACTCTTTGAGGAACTACCAGACTGCTTTCCACAGTGGCTGCTCTCCACTCCTGTATGAGGGCTCCAGATTCTTCACAGTCTTACCAAATGTCTGTTAGTTCCTTTCTTTTAAAAGTATTATGGCCATCTCAGTGGGTGAGAAGTGATACCTCACTGTGGTTTTCATCTGCATTTCCCTAACGTCTAATAATGTTGAGTGCCTTTTTTTTTTCCAACTTTCACATTTTTATAATTCCAAAAACTAATAATACAATAATCATTTCCACACACAAAGATATGTGCTCTTCATGTTGTGTAAACAAGATGCCTCAGTCTCCAACCCCAGGGCCGGCTGATGGAGTTAACTGAAGGCTGTTCAGTCATGGAAGCAATTTGCCCAAAGCCAAACACATCCTCCCGGCCAGACCATGCCAGGGCTGTGTCTCTTAACAGACAGTTCCCACCCCGTTGGGAAGAAGCTCACCAAACTGTTCTTTAAACAGCACAGCTGGGTGGAATCCTCATCCATTTAAATAAAACATTTTAAAACATCCTTTCACTATAATGTACAGATACAGAGCCCAAATAAATGATTTAAGGAAAATGTAATTCCTTCATGATTAAATAAGACATCATCTAGTTCAGTTCAGTTCAGTCACTCAGTCGTGTCTGACTCTTTGTGACCTCATGGACTGCAGCACACCAGGCTTCCCTGTCCATCACCAACTCCTGGAGTTTACTCAAACTCAAGTCCATCGACTTAGTGATACCATCCCACCATTTCATCCTCTCGTCCCCTTCTCCTCCTGCTGTTGAGTGCTTTTTAACGTTTGTATATGTCTTCTTTGGAGAAAAGTGTGTTCAAGTCCTTTCTTCGTTTTTTCATTGGGCTGTTGGTCTTTTTGTTGTCAAGTTGTGAAAGTTCTTTATGTATTCTGGATGTTAGGCCTTTATCAGATTTGTGATTTGCAAGTATTCTCTCCCATTCTGTAGGGTATATTTTCCCTTTCTTGATCTATCCACAGAAGTTTTTACTCAATGAAGTTCAGTTTATCTATTGTTTTCCTTTTGTTGCTTATATTTTTGGTGTCACAGCTAAGAATCTATTGCCCTATCCAAAGTCATGAAGATTTACAGGTTTTTTTTTTCCTAAGCCTTTTATGGTTTTAAGTTTTATATTTAGATTGTTAACCTATTTGATATCTGTGATATGAGGTAGGGGTCCAACTTAATATTTTTGCATATTTCTTTGCCTATTTCTGATGCTTTATTGGTGAACAGTATTTTCCCTGTAATAAAACCTAGGTTTTCCCTTAGTGATTTGTACCCTGCTTTCTGCTTTCAGTCTTGGAATTACCTTCCCACTGAGAAACCAATTAGCCACCTATTTTTTCTTCAATATTTCTACTTTTTAAACCAATTAACTGTTTAACCTGTCACTATTTTTTTTGTGTGTTGTTGACATTGAGGAGAAAATGTAACTTGGTTTATTTACGAAAAGCCAAGTTCTCAATATTATTTGTGAAACAATCTGCTTTCCCCCAGCCATCTATTTTTTTCATCTTTATTCTTCTGTGTTGTCGACTGAAAAAACAGCAACCTAAAGAATTGAGTTATGTTTTATTTGGTGTAAATTTTTAGGACTTGGGCCCTGGAAGCAGCATCTCAAGCGACCCTGAGAGCATCGCACTGAAGTCAGAGCCGAGCTGTGAGAAGCTTTGCAAGAAAGGGCCGTAGTCTTCAATGTCAAAAGTTTTTTGTAAATTAAAGAAAACCAGATAACCCAAGTTAAGGGACTTGAATTTAGTGCTTTCCATGTATGGGGAGATGCAAGAGTCTGGCTCGACGACGTCGCTCCTATGCCATGCGCCTCAGCTCTCTGGGACCAGGATCCTGTGTTTCCACATCCTGAGTCGCTCAGGGCTCACCGTGGGCAGCGGCTGTGGTCTGCTGGCTGCTAGATGGCGGCTATTCTTTCCTTCCCAAGTTCCCGTGGGGCTCACCAGGCGACGTTGGAGGCCCACAATCACTGATGACTGCGACATCATTGTTTACTGATACGGCAGGAAGCATTCTGTATCTCGGTTGAAACACCAACATAACAGTCATTGAAGACTCAAAACATATAAATATTCACCTATATTTTTCTTTAGCTTTTTGGTCATTTTATTCTTATTAACCCGCTTTGGAAT